GCAACTAAAATTTCCAATCAACTCGTCAGTCCTGCATAAACACAACGCATCTACAAAACTAAGACAAACCTCAGAAGTACAGGATCATACGCCAGTTTATACACATATAGAAAAGTTGTGACTAGATTCGCTCCTCTTCCTGCATCACTTTCACCTGCTTACAGGCATATAAGATAAGCATAAAGCAACTAAACAAATCATGTGAAGCATACAAAGTAGGATCTCAATCGACCACGTTTCTAGGTTTAGTGTTTTTGTGATTGATTTTTATTAATGGTGTCCTGCTCTGACGATGTTCGTCACATGATGGACGGAGGCTCAGCACGAAATCACCGGGGTCACAGGACAGTGAGTTGAGGTCTTCTTCGAACGATTTAACATTTACCAGGCGAAGGAAACTCTCTTTCGGTATCCGGTGAGGCAAATTTACGAATCCCTTTCATCCGCCTTTTCAAACTAAATAAAAGATATGCCAGTATCAATCTACCAATGAATTTTTCGAAACCCAGCTTCTCCTCGTATCTTGAAAAAAAGTGCCTGAAATGAAACGTACAATGGGACTGGAACCAAGTGAAATAGATCAACCAAAAAGATTTCGTAATTATTGCTATCAGATTTAAAGTGCTCTTACATCAGAAAATCGCCTTAACGGATAATTCGTCAATGGATTGAGAGTTCCACGAGAAAGATCCTGGTGTGATGATCCGATTAATTCAAGACAAGCCTCCAAACTTGCGGTCAGTTGGGAAAGCATGAGTTGTGTGTGCACATAGTAAACAGGACCAACAGTCAACTGGAGCTCCGCTTCAGCTTTTGTTGATTCAGGGCAAGTGGAAGATGAAGAAATGAAGGGAAAAGCAGCAGGCTCCTCGAAAACACTTTTATCAGCTCCGATACGAGCAGAGGGATCTGTCTCCGGTGCTATTAGACAGTCTTGATCGGCTTCAGCTGCTGGTGTCCCGGAATTGCGGCTCTGCTTTGCTATGCTATTGGGCGAAGCAAATATTATTGGCTGTGGATAAAGGAAACGCTTGAGACGGAAGAACAAAAGCTGAGAACCGCATGGTCGTTTGCAGACAAACGAGAACTGTGAAAGGTGAAATAAACATGAAAGTAGAAAGTAGCAAGAGGAGAAAAAATAAGTATACCTAAAGCATTAGATTTAATATGATCATTAACTATCTATGTTCAGAGAAATGTTCATCTTAAGAGCG